GTTATAACCAACATATCACTGAGATTGCCTCTAAATGCCTTTTTAAATTGTACCAAATTAACAGAATCAAACACCTCCTGGATAGGAAAACACTTCTGTTAGTAATAAATTCCTTTGTCTTTAGTAAACTCCAATATTGTTCAACTGTCTGGAGTAATACCAGCAGCAGCAATATTGACAAGTTACAAAAAGTCCAAAACTTTGCCGGGCGAATTATTCTGGGACTAAGAAAGTATGACCATATTTCGGATGGGTTGCGATCGTTGAAATGGCTTCCTATTAGAGAGAAACTCATTCTAAATGACGCTACTATGATTCACAAATGTATTAACAAGCTTGTTCCAGACTATCTTGCTGATATGTTTAAATCACGTTCTCAAGTCCATAATAGACAAACTCGATCATCTGGTGCTTTGGATATACCTTTATGTCGCCTGTCAACAGGGCAGCGCTCCTTTGCTTTCAGAGGAGCCAAACTCTGGAACTCCTTGAATGATAACATTAAGTCTTTAAAATGCCCCAGGAATTTTAGACGTCATCTTGCAAACGTTTTATTAAGTTGATATATTATATTATTGATATATATTTTGTAATTATAATATTATTGTATTTACATTCTCAATTAATTTATATATTTGTATTGAGCTGAAAAGCCCACTTAGGGAGCATCAATAAAGTATATGTATGTATATGTATGTATGTACTTTTCCTCGACGATTATTACTGGGATACCTGTGGTAGCCCAGTCATAAAATGCCTTTGATTTTTGTCGTCTTTTTACTGGGATACCTGTGGTAGCCCAGTCATAAAATGCCTTTGTTTTTTTGTCGTCTTTTTTTTTTTTTTACTGGGATACCTGTGGTAGCCCAGTCATAAAATGCCTTTGTTTTTTTGTCGTCTTTTTTTTTTTTTTTTTCCTCCGCCACAAAATGGAAAAATTGCGCAATAGTACCCAGTGGTCATTGGGCCCTCAACACCATGACAACTAACTGTGATCCAATGAGGGTGAAGGTGTTCACATGCTGATCACGTGTTATCTTGATGATGATTGACGTTGTCATGCACGGACAGGTCCGGGTCACATGACGAACACGAGATTTTTGCTTAGAAAACTCTTCTGTCGGTAGATAGGGCATACACCTATTTCAAACATATGCCTATGTTTGAAATAGGTGTATGCCCTAAGCCAGACTTGAGCTCACTATTTCAGTAGTACGACACCCGTAGTGTCACTACACTTGATTCCAAGGATCCAGTACCATCCAGGTATCCCAGTTACCCTGCTCACAGGGTCTAGTTTTTTTTTTTTTTTTTTTTTTTCCTCCGCCACAAAATGGAAAAATTGCGCAATAGTACCCAGTGGTCATTGGGCCCTCAACACCATTACAACTAACTGTGATCCAATGAGGTGTTCACATGCTGATCACGCGTGTTATCCCTCAACACCATGACAACGATCCACTGAAGGTGTTCACATGCTGATCACGCGTGTTATCCCTCAACACCATGACAACTAACTGTGATCCAATGAATGTGTTCACTTGCTGATCACGCGTGTTATCTTGATGATGATTGACGTTGTCATGCAAGGACAGGGCCGGGTCACATGACGAATCACGAGATTTTGCTTATAAAACTCTTTGGTCGGTTATTTTGTATTTCAATGTATTTGGATTGCGGTCTCCTGGAGCATTATGGCGCAAACGCGCAAAATACTTACAGACGCATATGCAAGTCGTATTAATCGCAGCTAATCCACACTGAAAGATGTTATTGAGCGGTAATTTTGGAACGGATTGAGTCGCGAACGCTTGAAAGCCATGAAAGCCTCGAATGCCTTGTATGCTAAGTATGCCAATGTCTTAGTTGAAAAACGTTAACTTGTTGTAAAAAGCAAAATCTGAAATCTGAAACAAAACTGCATATACTCTATGCAATCTATTGAACAACACTACTACCGTGAGACTGAAGAACATAACTATAATGGATGCAAACTGCTTGTGAAGAAAGACGACATGTTGGATTCACTTGATGGCAAGGAACGTACCTACGATAACAGTACGAATGGTATTAATTTCACGATCAGAAAGGTGAATCTTATGTTTGTTTTCATTGTAGTTGTATGGATATTCTTTTTTAATAAATATGTGATCCAAAACCCTGTGTTTTTTTGTGTATAATGTTATTATGTTAAATATTGTTTACGCAATTGTCTTGTCACAGGCGGCCCAAGCTCACGTCTCGAGAAAAAGCCAACGATTAATTCATGAACGCGTCACGCGTTGTGTGACTCGGTGTTAAGTTACGAGAGGAACTGCAAGTTATAAGGAATAGTACAGGGAACGAAGTATGGTCGATTTACAACGATACATATTTCGAAATATGAACATTTTTCTCGTAAAATCAATAAATCTTACTCATACCCTGTGTATCCGTTGTATTTTCTGGCGATTTCTGCCGTTTTAAGCTTGCTTTACCATCACTGTTGTTCACATCATCTACTTTTATTACGTTGATAAAATCTGTACAGATATCACACCAACCAACTCGCGTGCAAAGTAAGAAGACTATATTGAAGGCTTGAAATAATATTGCAATCGATTTTCATCAAGAAATGGGCCAGGAATATTCCACAATAGTGCAAATAATCGTGAAGGCGGATTGCAGAAAAGCGATTGCGTGACGCTCGGTAAGCTGTAAGATGACATGTTATTATATACCAGACGTAAAAACTCTTCAGATTCTTAGTCTGCATTTTGTACCCACTCTGCAGTCTTCAGTCTATATTTTGTATCCGGTCTGCAGTCTACTGTCTGCATTTTGTACTAACAGGTATCCGTGGCACCAATACAGTTTATTAGTGGTTACATTTATTCGCAAAACACTCATAATCTACCACAAAATACCTGAGTGAGGTAACTCGACATTTTCGTTCTTTCCCACATTAATATTCTTCTCTCCTTTAGTAAGAAGGTAGACATCACTCACAATGTTTCAAGTAATCCACCCACCCTACAAAAAAGGAACTCTTGCACACATAGCATACCTATGTTTTGAAATAGGTGTATGCCCTTGGCCAGACTTGAGCGCACTATTTCAGTATACTAGTCCGACACCCGTAGTATCACTATACCTGATTCCAAGGATCCAGTACCATCCAGGTATCCCAGTTACCCTGCTCACAGGGTCTAGTTTTTTTTTTTTTTTTTTTTTTTTTTTCCTCCGCCACAAAATGGAAAAATTGCGCAATAGTACCCAGAGGTCATTGGGCCCTCAACACCATGACAATTAACTGTGATCCAATGAGGTGTTCACATGCTGATCACGTGTGTTATCTTGATGATGATTGACGTTGTCATGCACAGACAGGGGGTCACATGATGAATTACGAGATTTTGCTTATAAAACTCTTTTGGTCAGTTGTTTTGTATTTCAACGTATTTGGATTGCGATCTCCTGGAGCATTATGGCGCCAACGCGCAAAATACTTACAGACGCATATACAAGTCGTATTAATCGCGGCTAATCTACACTGAAAGATGTTATTGAGCGGTAATTTTGGAACGGATTGAGTCGCGAACGCTTGAAAGCCTTGAATGCCTTGTATGCTAAGTATGCCAATGTCTTAGTTGAAAAACGTTCACTCGTTGTAAAAAGCAAAATATGAAATCTGAAACCAAACTGCATATACTCTATGCAATCTATTGAACAACACTACTACCGTGAGACTGAAGAACATAACTATAATGGATGCAAACTGCTTGTGAAGAAAGACGACATGTTGGATTCACTTGATGGCAAGGAACGTAGCTACGATAACAGTACGAATGGTATTAATTTCACGATCAGAAAGGTGAATCTTATGTTTGTTTTCATTGTAGTTGCATGGATATTCTTTTCTAATAAATACGTGATCCAAAACCCTGTGTTTTTTGTGTATAATGTTATTATGTTAAATATTGTTTACGCAATTGTCTCGTCACAGGCAGCCCAAGCTCACGTCTCGAGAAAAAGATGAACGCGTCACGCGTTGTGTGACTCGGTGTTAAGTTACGAGAGGAACTGCACGTTATAAGGAATAGTATAGGGAACGAAGTATGGTCGATTTACAACGATACATATTTCGAAATATGAACATTTTTCTCGTAAAATCAATAAAACTTACTCATACCCTGTGTATCCGTTGTATTTTCTGGCGATTTCTGTCGTTTTAAGCTTGCTTTACCATCACTGTTATTCACGTCATCTACTTTAATTACGTTGGTAAAATCTGTACAGACTCACACCAACCAACTCGCGCACAAAGTAAGAAGACTATATTGAAGGCTTGAAATAATATTGCGATCGATTTTCATCAAGAAATGGGCCAGGAATATTCCACAATAGTGCAAATAATCGTGAAGGCGGATCGCAGAAAAGCGATTGCGTGACGCTCGGTAAGCTGTAAGATGACATGTTATTATATACCAGACGTAAAAACTCTTCAGATTCTCAGTCTGCATTTTGTACCCACTCTGCAGTCTTCAGTCTATATTTTGTATCCAGTCTGCAGTCTGCTGTCTGCATTTTGTAGTAACAGGTATCCGTGGCACCAATACAGTTTATTTTTGGTTATAATTTATTCGCAAAACACACATAATCTACCTCAAAATACCTGTGAGTGAGGTAATTCGACATTTTCGTTCTTTCCCACATTAATATTCTTCTCTCCTTTTGTAAGAATGTAGACATCACTCGCAATGTTTCAAGTAATCTACCCACCCTACAAAAAAGTAACTCTTGCATGCATAGCATGCCTATGTTTTGAAATAGGTGTATGCCCTTGGCCAGACTTGACCGCACTATTTCAGTATACTAGTCCGACACCCGTAGTATCACTACACTTGATTTCAAGGATCCAGTACCATCCAGGTATCCCAGTTACCCTGCTCACAGGGTCTAGTTTAACCAGAAACCGACGCAGGCGCATACCAGCGGTTTCTCGCATTTACAGAACACACGGAGATTAATTGTCTCTGCTGCGCTTTTCCCATCCTAGCCTTCTCTCCTCAAAGGCTGTACTTCAGCATAATTCACCTGTTTCTTTCGGTTCCAAATCGATCATTTCTGGGAGACCAAGCCTTTGCTGTTTTTGCGCTAGTGAGGAAGTCATCATGATTCCACGTTCATTGTGTATCACGCTTAATGCCATCTTTGCGATCGTTCTGTTGCGTTTTGAGTACGTTCTTGGAACCTGCATAGAGCGCGACGAACAATTGCAAAAGTATCTTACGTCTTCCAATTCTTCTTTTAGCAATTATTTTAACATATCGAAGGCTGTGTATCCTTCTGTGGATCTCCCATCTTTGCTGATCGACATCACGGTGAAATTCCTGAAGACAGCTGGCGAAAAGTCAGACGGAAGTAACAATCTGTCAACGACATTGAAGACCGAGTTTACGTGGAGTATGTCGTGCTTGTACGTCAGCGGAGGAATTAGCCTGACCTCCATGAACTTGTTTTCCCTGGGAGCGATTTATCCAAACAGAAGAGGAAGTAAATTGCACATAACACTGCCACAATTTTGCAATAGCTCTACCGTCGACATTCAAGAAAAAATGATATACTTCCTTTCCACGGTAAGTGATCATTCTATTCTGTGTAGCGTTTTGTACGGGGCGCCAAACCAGTCATTATTCCCACTGTATTTAACTTTTTACTCTTTATATGGTCAGTTGAACTTTTTATATGGTCGACTCGACTTTTCACATGATGAACTTTTTACTTTTTGTATGGTCAACTCGACTTTTTATTAGGTCAACTTGTTACTTTTTACATGTTCAGCTTTGTGACTTCTACATTGCATTGCGATTAGACTTGAACAAAATGGCTGCTAACAATGAAGACGTGCTGCACATCCTCTAGGTGTGTGTCATAGCTAAGCAGGCTCTCGAAGCCATCGAAAATCTTCACAATAATGATATTAGAAATGTGGCAACGTTGACAGCTACCAACAGAGCTTCGACTTCCTCTGTCCCATCATTAAGCCCTTCGGTTGCAGCAGAGCTCTCAAGCCGATTTCCAACTTTCAACACATGTGGGGCGACTGCAACTAGAAAACGAACTTCGACGGGTACTTTTACAAGTTCCATGTCCCGAGAAACATTGAAAGTCAACTTCTAAGAGAAGACATTATGCTTGACTACCTCAAGGTAACTAATTTTTGGCTCCTGCTTGATAAGATAAGTAATTAGAAGTAAAACTTGTATTAATATAATTGAAAGTTCATGTACATTTATTGTAAGGCAAAAATTTAAGAAGAACTCGTAGATAAGGTCTAGTTTTTAGTGGCTAACTAAGTTGTGCATTCTCTGGGTGGTGTTGATGAGACCTGCTTCATTTCTGTGATTGTAACTCTATTCTTTGTAGGCTTGTTATGGAACTCTAGTAACTCCTAAATTAGCAAAGGGAGTAAGAATGGATGGTGAAAGAATAGTAAAGCTCTCAGGTCAAGGGAGTGTGTACATCAGATGTCTGGAACCCTTTGAGGAGGAAGATAGGGATGAAGATGATGAACAGCTTACGATACCATCCTTTAGTCAATGTGCTGGTGACCTCTCAGAGACCCCAGTTAATGCAAGTTCCTCATCATTGCAGCATCAAAACAGTGAAGCTGAATCCACAGACCAAGGGGAACTACTTATCTTTGGAGATCCAATGCCCTTCTTGTCAGAAATGGAGAACAATCAGTCCGTTAACAATTATGAAGCTGTAGTTAATGTTAATGGAACATCTCCACCAACTTCACCTTCACCTTCATGAGAATTCACAGGTCACTTGTGAGGGCTGATATGCTTGAGGTTTTTTCAGATCCTTCCATTTTGAAGTCCAGTTTAAATGCCATCATTATACATCCATTAAAGAAGCTGGACAGGGAAATGGGGTCTTGAGGGAAGTTTTCTCCTTGTTTTGGAAAGAATTCTCTAAATCACACATATTGAGGAAGAGTGAAAGAGTCCCTTATATTAGGCATGATTTTGACTGCAATAAGTGGGAAGCAGTGGTGAGGATACTGGTAAAGGGATACGCAGAGAGTCAGTATTTTCCTCATAAAATAAGCAAAGCCTTTCTTGCTGGTTGTCTTTTTGGGAAGGGAAGCATTATTTGTGAATGTTGCAAGATTCCTTCAAGCATTATGTTTCTCCATCTGAAACTAGTCTTACAGAAGGCTGCTTGGCCGACAGTATCACATGTGACAATGATGAGATGCTTGACTTTTTGTCAGCCTATGACTGTAAGAGAAAAGTCACACACAGCAATTAAGTAAAAATCATCAGAGAGATTGCTCATGAGGAGATAGTGCAAGAGTCCCAATATGTGAGTGACTGCTGGCAACCAATTCTTGCTCACCTTAAGATTTATTTCCCAGATGTAAAATCATCACATCAATTGTGTTCTTCCATCACACCTAGTAATGTTAAAGTTATTGGCCTACTTGAAGCCAGTCTGGCTACAGTAGCTGTGACAGAAACACTGGCCCACCTGAAGAGACTCATCAGGGGGCTTAACAAAGCTAAACTTACCAATTTTTGAGATTTACATCTACATCTGATGTTCTTGTCACAGACAGGTTGAAAATATCATTCACCAACAGTGAAAGTCTACAGAGAAGGCCTATTGCCCACAACTGTAACTACACTTCAGAGGTGCTGAGCACATTTGCTAGCTTTTGTGAGCCCAGAAGAAAAAGAAGAAAATGAACAAATAGCATAAATATACACCATAAAGTGGTCTCATTAGGGTATATGTGCATCTTGCTAAGCTTCATTTGCTCTCAGGCTATCCAGTTTTGATGTAATTTCATTTAGAATTACATCATTACAAGAATGGTGTGCTTGCTGATGACACACTCATTTTTACATTTTTAAATTAATTATGTTAGGTTTTGTTGGGTTTCAAACAGTTATTTTATTGTTAGATTTATTAAAATACAATGAGGTCCATAATTATTCAAAGTTCCCTTTTGAAAACATGAAGTGCAATAAAAAGCATTGTGTTTTGTAAAGTTTATAACCTCTATGGTGCTTTGTTAATACTAAATACAAGTTTGAAAGTCAGTTCAGTTGATACATATGTATCCCTGTGAAAAGAAAGAACACAAAATTCTTAAACAACGTATAAGTATGTATTTTCACCACCTTTGTCATTTTCTTGCAAGGGGTTGCAATGATTTTCCAGGAATGCCATCTGTTGATCAGAAAGTGGAACACTTGTATCTGGAACTACTTCCTGATAGTCTTCTTCTTCCAGAGGGATAAAGGCAGAGGGGTCAAATCCATAATCATGCCCATTAAAAGCATCAAACACACTTGCAACTGCAGCATATCCAGAGTGTTCATTTTCAAGCATTCCATCTGTATATAATTGAATAGGAGAAAGATTTCCTTCAGAAGAAAGTGGATGATTTTCCCACTGGCTCTTAAGTTCCTGTAAGTGCTCATTGATTCGGGATATGAAGGTGTAATGTAATGCAAATAAATGCAACTCATTTGGTGGATCCAGTAGCTCATTATCCTCCAAGCAAGAAAATGTTCTTGCAAGAAAGCAAAGTTCTCCGCATGACCTTTCTACATGACAGTTGTGCACAGAGTACCAGTAACAATGCTACCTCTGTCAACACCTCTCTGCTCAAGCATAAACTCTGCTACTTTGAAATTTTCCATAACATAATCACTTCTCACCCTAGAAGGCAATCCATAACTGTTGACACCTCTTATAAATTGCTCCAGTACTACTTCAGTCTACTTCATGTATTTATTTAAAGAAATATAACGTTTACAAAACTTCATGTCCTGCAAATAGCTACAATGCTAATCTAGGCAGGACAAGACTTTAACTAAAGGCGTTATTAAATTACATAAGAAAAAAGAAAAGAAGAAATACAAAAACATACAGAAAGAAACACCTTACATATAAATTCAAGTACAAGGGATTTTGTTATTTGAAAAAGACTAAAATTACAACTAGAGGTATATACAATATATCAGGTTAACTTCACAAAATATTCTATTAAAAACTTAACATTCAAATAATTATCTTCATTACCTAGAACATTAAGGAGTAGTAATTTAATTTTTTTACGAAAATTAGAAACGTTGAGAGTCTTAACAGAAAGTGGAATAGAATTCCAAATAGACACACCGATTCTAGTAAAAGATTTTTTCATTTTTTCAGTTCTAGAGAATTTGACAGAGAAGCATTCTTTTGCAGATAATCGCGTATTATAATGATGTTCTGTATTGATTTTCGCAAACTTATCGAGAAGACTTTTAGGAGCTGTCTTAGCATGAACTTAGTACTGTATCAGCTTTGCTATTATAGCAGCAGTGGGCATAAATTATAATTAAGGAATATCCATGAACACACATATGAGTTATTGACCACCATCGTATGAGTCTGTGATTGCTGTATATGTGCCAGAGAGCATTTGGTGTAGGAACATTATATTTTCTTCTGTAAATTGTAGACCGCCACCGTAAATCTGTTCCAACAGGATCAAAGGTTTGAAGACAGTTTCTTACATGCCTTCATGGAATATTGAGCCCTCTACTTCTCAGAGCGCCCACTAGTTGAGCCAGTTATTTGAGTCCAACTTAACTCTTCTTGGTCACTCACGCCATACATTAACCTACTCCTTCTGAGGGTACCCTCAGAGTACCCCCAGAAGGAGTAGGTGAATCCATTTTTTCCAGGAAAAATGTATTTCTCTTAAAAAACGTATCTGTTCTTCCTTAATGACATAAGGTGGGTGCCCAGGACCATTCCTACTTGAATCAGGTGGGCTGCCATATGTCCTTTCACCAAAAATATCTAACATCTCATTTCTGTATTGCTGCAGCTAATCAATTAAGTTCCTAACCTTAATCAGAGACAGGTTTAGGATTGATGCCGCATCAGTGAAATCTTCGTTGTTCCCAATGTCTGCGGTGAGTAACTGAATGGTCTCTGTAGCAGTCCAAAATCTATCAACTGCCTGATCAACATCCTCAAAGGACAAGTTATTGTTTCTGCCTCTTCGAATGAGGATACTGTCGAAAGCAGTATCTTTAAATTGTCAAAAAATAAAAACAGTCTGTACTCGTTTCGTTCTCTGGAGGGAGTATAAGCAGCCATTTTGTTAGTGATCAGGCGCAATGCATTCTGGAACGGTTCGAAATTGACTATATAAAAAGTCGATTTAATCATATAAAAAGTCGAGTTGGCCTTATAAAAAGTGAAATTTGATCTTATTAAAAGTGAAAAGTTGACCACATAAAAACTCGAGTTGATCATATAAAAAGTAAAAAGTTGACCGTATAAAAAGTCGAATTGACCACATTAAAAGTAAACTGGGTCACAGAAAGACAGAGGGAATATTGACTGGTTTGGCGACCCATAGTTATGCTTTTTTTGGTTTAACTTCGTAGTTGAGTTGTAGTGTGTTGTGAAATTTGACGTCAACGACGTAGTGAGACGCTCAAACTCGTAACTTCTATGACACAATTTTTTGAAAGTAGCAATATTGATAGACATCGGGACCTCCGCAGTCTCCAAAAGTCTTTGGAACGTTTACGAAATTTCCCTTGTTTTTAAAAGTTGCCCTCATTATATTTTACCATCATATTGAGAGCGTGATAACTCGCCACAAACTGATTTTTGAGAACATCGAAGTTGCCTTGTTACTTTCATGGTAAACAGTGAATGATTTCTTCCACGTATGCTGATTGGCAAGCTCTAAGTCTCTGGCAAGTGACATTTACCTCCGCGCTGAACGAGATGACTTTACTCAAATGCAGTGAAACCAACAAAGACAAAATATGACGTTTTAATTACTATGCCTTGATATAAGATTTGACAACTTGTGCCTAATCCGTTTCGAGCCTTTCCCGGCTCATGAATTTAATAGAATTCAATATAAATGTCGAGCTCTGGAGCAAACAAATCCTAAAGTATATGTGCGTGAATCAAAGACGTTTCAATCTTTGTTCAAGTATAATTTCAGACTAAGAAACAAAAATTAAAATATCTCCATCTGTGTCGTGGCTCCGACCAAAAAGACTAAATCAACGCTTAGAGACATATCTCGATCGTGTAATACAGGTATATGTTTTTACAACTTTACTTAGATGGGCTTTGCCTGCCATAGTGAGTAGCAAAGATTGTTTTCGGCAATAACTTAAATTACTTTGACATCGTACAAAATAAAGCCCTGGAAACACGGCGGTCGAACGTCACGCATGCTCAAGTGGATCAATTTTTAGCTGGCCTCACGCCAATTTTCCGCCCAAAGTTTTAAGAATTTACCTTTGTCACTCGAACTGTTCGAAAAAAGGAAATGTAGCGTTCAGAGAAATCTGGACTTGGAAACAAAAGTGGAGAAAGGGAAAACTTGAGACTTCTGTAATCCTAATTGAGTTAATTTTTTTTATGTAAAAAAATTACCCTATGTTGGCGTGTAGAGTGGTATGTTGCTCGCACCAATCAGATCGTCGCATTAGGGTATGTGTCTCGCGTTGTGTGACGAGACAAAACAACGGCTGCGAAGGAGACTGCAGTAAGCGTGGCACCGATGCATTTTATATTTGCTCAGAAGTATTAAGACAATATAGAGAAATAGACCACATAGAGAATAGACCACAAAGAATAGACCACAAAGAATAGACCTGTGTGAGTTCAGATAAACTAGGTTTTTTTCTTTTTCTTAAGATGAAGTAGTGCGATATTGTCATTTTTTTGAAGTTATGCTCTTTTTCTGTTACAAAAATGAAAACACTAGGTACACAAAGCATCCCATCTCGACCCACCCTGTGAAAAAAGTAACTCTTACATGCAAACATGCAAGAGTGTTTAATCGCAGGTAAACGTGGATTCTTCCTTTTTTTCGACCCGATCTTGAATGCTATTCGTTTTTATAACACTGTGACGTGCTAACTCGTGTGTTCTGTTAATAACTAAGGTGTGCTATCCATGCAGTTAAATACTTGTGTTTACACTATAACGATTTTCTTTATTGTTTTGTAGTTGCAGGATGTGGCAGTCATTCCATCAGTTTCCGATCCAAGATTGAACACGGTTGAGTGCGTGATCCCAGGGCATGGGAAAGCTCCACAGTTTTCTGGGGTAAAACAATTGTTGCATGGTGTGTGTTGGAGTTTACTGGTTATCAGCCTTGCTATGAGTACTTTGTCATCACAGCTGATAACAGTGAAGCTAAGGTCATGGGGTGACGAAGAGGATCATCGGAGTAAGACTGCAGCAACTATGTTTCTTTCTTTACTCCTTTTTCTAGGGGGACTTGCCTATAATCTATACATATGCATATCCGCGACAAAAGTCGGAAATAAACAAGAGATCAGCTACGTCTGGGTGTTCTTTGGATCTATATTGTTTGTGCTTTTCCGACGCTTGTTTTGGTGTATGTTTGTATATGAGTGGAAGTGTTTTAGTGAGCGAAACTTAACCGGGGGCCACGGGGAAATGACTACCAAAAACCTTTTTTCTGGCGTTGTACTTTATCCAGCAGTATTCATTGTATTTCATCATCTGCTGTGGATTTTGCTGGGTATGATAACAGAACCATTTTGGGGTTTTACTGTTTTAGTGGCTGTTATTGCTCTTTGTGCCGTGCTTTTCTTCTCACTTTCGGAGCTGCATCGTGTTTTTCCCGAAAATTTTCTTTCCTGTGAAAACTGGAAAGAAAAATTTATATTTTTCATGTCTCTCTTTTTGATCCTAGCCGTCCTTTCTGCATTTGTGTTGTTTGTGGTAGTTCTGTTTATGGTTGCACAGGTTTTTCTTAGCGAGAGTTTGATTTCGACATTGATTCAGAATACTTTGACGTTTGTTGTTACTGTATGGTTTGGATATATGAATATTCTTAAGGAATCAAATAAGGGAGTTGAAGAAGAAGGTAAAAAAAGGCCTGCAAGAGAGGAGGAATTACCCTTGGAGGTACGCTAATACATCTTGAAATGGTATAAAATCCCATGCAGACTAGCATCCTTTCCTACTCGCTTTATACTTCAGAAACTGATGATAATTACAGGTAGTTAGCAGACTTAACCCATACCCTTATCACTCTTTGTTGTCACATTAATTTAGGTACCTCTCCCTCAACTCCACTTAATTTTTATATAATATTTTTATATTATGAAGAACCGTTGTTTTATCGCTTAAATATGGGTGTAAAACTGTGGATCAATCACCGTAGAATCACTTTCGGTTTATTTCAAGTCTATTATATATAAGTCATAATATTGTGATTCATGAATTGTCTTAGGTTTGAGATTGTAACTGTAATCAATTTTTGTACCCACAATTAAAGAAAGATGAATGAAAACAAGAACCTATTTTATCATCAGTCGCCTGCCGTACTAGAACGGTTTGTCTACAAATATTGTTTTTTTAGTAAACACTAAAACAGTGGATAGCCCTGAAGGTGCACTGTTATTGGCTGTTTTAAATCCGAATATCCTTTGCTATTCATCTTCGAGTAACTTGCGCGGGATTTGCACCCGAAAATATTCTAATCGTTGAGGGAATAAAAGAGTTTAAATCGTCTTTTGTGGTATGTTATCTAGCGTCCGTGGCTAGGGGTGAATACTTACGTTACCGCTTCGCGGCTCGGTAAATATCCACCACGGCTAATAGTTGTCAAATGTACGGTGTTACGGGTAAGCTTCAACCACTTCCCAATAAAGTCAGAACCATTATCAGGATTTCTTTTCAAAAAAGCTTTTTTTCTTTAATTCATACGCTTGATCAACTTTAATTATGGAGAAGTCGAGTGAAGATGGAACACTAATGAACTGAAGAAATCACAAACCAACGTAAATGTTTGGACCGCAGTACAATGCTTGTTTTGATTTGTCTCGTATTGACATATTCAGAAGTGTTTCGATGTGGTTCGTGTTATCGTGGGTGTAAACATAAGGAGAATGATCTGAAGGGGAGCGAAAATTGCTTCGAGTTATGGAGGGTTTTAGTTACCGAGGGTAAATTTGCAGTAAAATGTATGACAGAAATCCAGGGGAAATCGATTTTGGTTCGAGTTAGCGTAGGCGTGGGGGTCGAGTTAGCCCCGCAATCGGAAATCGAACTCAATCGAACGAGTTCGGCAATCGAATGAAATCGAACACCGAACTTTGTGTGAGTTCGATTTCCGAACCGATCGAACTCAATCGAATAAGTCGAACCCAATCGAACTCAATCCGTTAGATTGAGATCTATTATTTCGACAACCGAACCAAATGGATTGCGTTCGATTATGTTCGGTGAGTAAACTCGCTCTAACAAATCTCGTATATCATGCAGGCTGATACGGTACCCAAGCTCTGGTAAACCTTTATACATGTAACGCAAGCGCATTGGAAAGAGGCTTTCCTAGTCCTCTTTTTCAATGATTATTCATAACAAAAAAGTCCACGGCAGTAAAAGGAACAGAATAGAACAAAGCTACGGATTGAGTTCGATTGAGTTCGATTGAAATTCAGTTCGATTTCGATCGATTGCGTTCGATTTACTATGCCGGGAGAGATTCGACTATAATTTCATTCTTTAGCGATGTCTGGAAGAAATTTTTGTTTGGGATACCTTACGTTCTTTTTTCTCACACGGTTTTTCATTCGATACATTATCCTTAGAACACGAGTGATGTTACGACTTTCGGTGTTCGGAATTACAGAATCTTATGCACAAGTTCATATTATGGAGTACTTTTTTCTCTTTCTCGCATACGTCGCAAATTAAATTTAGAACGTCCTTTCAGGACCAGTAAGTCTGTACACAAGGAACCAGTGTAGCTATGACCTTATCCAAATGAAATTTTGTTTTTAGAAATTGTGATTTAAAAGGTGCCAGTTTTAAAAATCATCGATGGAAAAAAAATTTAAGACAAGTGAGCTGGAGTTAAAAGAGAGCTTCAACACCCGGCTAGTATCAATAGGGACCTTAAGGAAACCACGATGGCGACGGCAACGAGGACATGGAAAAACAAAAGATCTAAGGGCCTGTTTACATGGAGGTGGAGGACCCCAGGTAAGTGAGGTAACCCACCTATCTGTGGTATTAGGGACCTTAAGCAGTTAGGACGGCACCCGCCTAAGTATTTTGTTTTTGGCGGGCACGACGGGACTCGTTCCAGTCTTACTCTTCCAGTGCCGTCGCCGTCCAGCTTCCCGTCTTGGTATCTTAAGGTCCCTATATTGAAAATACGTAACGTTTCTTTAATAGTATCAAGCTCGTTAGATGCACTAATAAGAGGAAGACTGGATTGGAGAGCGGTTTATGCAAAACAAGACTTACAGTTTTGGGATGGAAAGCAGCAATTGAAATATGGAAATAGGTGTACATAGATTAAATAATAAGGAGGGAAATCTGATAATTCCTTACTTCTCAACGTACAGGTTTACAGATCTTTGCATGCACTTGAAGTTTCATGCTCTCTTTCATCCTTCTCTTCCTTTGTATTTCATTAGCTTTTTATTATTTTCATACTGTCTTGTATTTTTGGAAGAGAACATTTTTATCAATATCTTAGATCGGTCTAAACCTTTTCGGGTGCTTCTTTTCCCATCTAATGAATGAATCAAAGCTTTGGAATAGTAGTAACTGAATCTAAAAATAATGAAGTCCGCCGAGTTACTCTCGATCCTAGAGCTCACCAGAGTCACGTCCGGATCGAACAGATTTTTCCTTGTTATTTTCGCAATAAAAACCGTTAAGCATTCGATTTTAACCCTTTTCCTTTAAGAATTGTGTATTTCCTCTGTTAATTTTCAATTTCGGAGTTCTGGCAGACCTGCAGAGAAACAACGAAAGTCACGCTCACGCATGCATCCGACATTCGTTCCGTGAGTTGAAGTTTGGGGCCAGTCTGAAGAACTTTTCCCCGCACGTGGTGAATACGCATGCTCAGGTATGATGGTGGAAAAACATGGCCGATGATGAAGATGACGATCCGGTCGTGGCAGAGGTTTGTTAGGTTATCATTGGAGATAGAAATGCACCAGTTACGTTGGAAGGTTATCATTTGAGACAAAATCTCTGTATACATCCACAGGTGGACGTTTATCTGGCCCAGACTTTGGCCAACAACCTCTACTTGTTTCAGGTACTACTTATTCTTCTCAAACATAACGAATCTTTCCGTATACATTTAATATTTGACATGAGCAAAGGATTGTCAACTTTGAGTAAAATATTTGAGAGAAAGTTGTATTAGCGATAAAGGTTCACACAGTTCGACTTTAATTTCCGGAAGGGCTTATGTCGACTTCGAAAATTTAAGTTAACTTTGAGAGCTGCACTGGTTTGACAGATGTGCTTAAATTTCCACCTTGTGGTAAAACTGACATTTTTGGATCATCCACTTCTTGTTAAGTGTTGTCCTACTTTTCTCAAGCTGCCATATTTTGCCTATGCTATGCTTCCAAATATTTGCCTTAATGAGTAACTTGCCACAGGATATGACAATTCCTAGGTTTTGATTCGCGTGCTGACCTTTGTGCTCTTCAGAAAATTACTCTTGTGCATGCTGTTTCAGAGAAGTCGTGAAAATATGTAAATTTCTGAATAGTTTATAGTATGTGTAATCTCTTAAAAAACAAGTGGACAAGCTTTCAAAGATATAGGCCCATACATTGTAAGTCTAGGGGAAAGGGGAAAACAATGTCTCTGAGGCCTTTTCAAATTTTTTTTTCAACCTTTTTCTATTCTTTGCATGTTTATAAGTGTTTGGGCCCATTGGAAAATTGAAAGTTCTTACAGCCCAAGGAAACAAAAGTCACACAACTTGATCCAGAAGGCTCATAGTAAATTTTGTCGAGGCTTTTATCTCGCTCGCAATGGATTCAAGTGTTACTCTTCATTATATTATCTGTCTGTATATTATCAGCCTGAGACTGATTGAGATTTTTTTCTTTTCATGGTGTAACAACAATGATCTGACTCAACTTGTTTTGCAGTATCCAGTCCGTCCAGCTGATATTACTTATGATAATATCCCTCATATTGGAGCAAGAATCAAACCAGACCAACAAAAGGTGAGTGAGAAAGCATAGTTTAATTATTGAGCTGAAAGTCCAAAACTTAGAATAAAATCCTGGCTAGCTCAGGTTATAGAGCACCAGACTGCATGTAAGAGGTCAAAGGTTTGAGCCCTAAACCAGCACAACACTCAGAGTTTTAAAATAATTGAGGGGAGTGTGCTACTTTACTCTGTTCGACCTGTCTCCTGCATCTTCTCTGTACCAGTTTTCAAGGGGTATTAAAGAACCTACACACTCTCCATGCAGAGTAGGGAAAAAAAAGAAGGAGGAATTGGTTACACATGTCGGCATGAAGTGATTACTGAGTACTATAATATTGGGTATCTATCTACCATCTGGGCTTTCAAAAAGAAGAAAAAAAGAAGACCAATTGTGTAATCAGTTTCTCTGAGGAGATGCAATGTATCTCTCTGTTGTATTGTTTCCTGTCCAAGAATTGCTTTTATTGTGTCCTTAATGAAGAACAGACAATCCTGGATAGAGAGATGGATGTCTTTTGAAAGTACGTGGATGTACCTGTTCTACCTTTATTGCAAAATTTATAAATTATCTACTAACATACTTTGTCCCGGATTTTCAACTGTGAGTTTAGGTTGAACTCGAGCTGTCAATAAACACAAGTAGTGATAACTATTATGCACCCAGAGGAGAACAAATCGCACATGATGTGGATGGCTCTGCTTTGTCATCTGCCTCTGAAGGAAAAGAATCATTTTTTTCCAGGTACTAAGATCTCCAAATTCCTTTTGAAAATTGACCATAGTATGTCTATTAACAGAACTTTTAAAGCAATACTGGTTAATGTAAAATTTGATACTCATTCTGTACAATTTATCACTTTTTCATTTTTTTTCAAAGAGAATTTGATTAGCTGTCAAGCTCCTTTCATTATATTCCCTTGTGCTGAGCCAAGCTGGTAAACATTTTTCTTTTGGCCAGGTATAAGCCAGTAAACAATTGCAGGATTTTGAAATGCCCTAGTTGTTCCATAGGAATACTTTTTTTTCATAATGAGGTGTGGGTTGTTTTTTTTTTCCTCACTCTTATTAGTGATAAGATGGATAAGCAAGTGCTTTCTTCATCAAGAGCCTCAGAGGATGTGAGTCGATATTCTGTGGGCATTCTCAAAGGAGGTACCTAAGTAGAAAGTATTT